AGATAATGTCTCTAACTATGGGGGGGCTGTTCCATTTGGCGGTGGGGGAAAAACCGCAAAACATCTAATTACAAAACAAATGGAATCAAATATCATCGGTAATTAAATATATGTAATATTATTTATGTATTTTTTTAAAGCTCAATCTAAACTGATCGATTTGAAAATACCCGTCAATTGTTTCGGATTCGGACTGGCCAATCGGAGCGCAGTTGTCACCGTAATGATTTGGCAGAATAGTTTTCAATAAAATTAAATGACATTTCGTCTCTATATCTGGTTATATACTATTATGGCCCAAACCTAATGGTCGCCATTAAAGACAAGTAATAATTATAAAGAATCTCCGCAATTTTCAAATAAATAGGTATAAAAAGTTTTGTGTATCCCGCACCGTATTCATCATTGCTGCCAGTTAGTATCATCAAGTGAGTGGATCTCTACTGTAACCCCCTTTGGATTTAACTCCCTTACTAGTCACATACATGCGTAATAATTTTGGCCCACCGGTTAGCGAGATTCGGCTCGGTATTCGAGTAGCAGTAGAGCTCCTTATGAAAAGTATTGCAACTTTATCAATTTCTGCCGTCAAGCACTAATATGAGCATTACTGCATCCCAGGTTTGAAGGGTCAGAGTACTGGAGAAATTAGAACACAGGGACTTGTAAATTTATGTCTCAGGGTGACGGGCGCAGTGGCAGTGCCCCTAAGATCTTTGCGATTTAAGGCTCTGAGTGGCGCTGCAACTGTTATGGACAGGCGTGTCGCTTACCAACAAGGGCAAGATTTGTCCTCCCGTTTTTTGGTATCATAAGAAAGACTCTAAACCACTGAGTGTGTATCCAATATACTTCGTACTAATTATATAACTATACCCAATCTAGAGATGCATAGAAATAGCCCGTATTGAAAATAGAGTACCTACAAATATACACTTTTTAAAATATGGTTTGTTATTCGCATCTAAATGTTACTATAGAAACTACTCTATAGAAACCTTCTTGTCACAAAGAGAGTTGTAAGCAATATGGATACATATACTGTCACTTACGAATTGCATTCGTCTAATATATGTACATATTTAGTAATTTTAAAATGATAATGCATATTACAATTTTTATTACAGTAGTTAATAGAGTTAATAGAGTTTTTATTAAAATGTAAAATTGTTATATAGTATATATAAAATTAATAATTAGAATGCAATGCCCTAACAGGGCCCATGTTTATATGAGGCTCTGTACTCATGATCCAATAAATAAATAAATACAGGTAGAACGCGCAGATCGCCCCGGTTCTCTTGCTGTTTGTATGCCGAGTAAAGCTTTCGGTGAACCATGCTATCGGTAAATCATATTTCGACCACAATTTTCCGTAAATTAGTCTGACTGAATGAAACAAACAAAAAATTATTCATAGTCCGTCTTTCCAATGTACTGTTGCCGTTTAATCGTCAGTTTATTAATTATGGTTAAGCGATTAAGATATATACAGATATTTTTCTATAGGCTTTTGAAAATATGATAGACCTTAAAAACGAAATATATAAAGGTCAGAGGAGACAAAGTCCAACAGTACAGTAGGTACGGAGATTACATTAATTACACCCTATTGTGTTCCGTTTGAATAGCGACTACGCCATCTCAAATCGGCCGCTCTGGAGCTGAAAAGCCGGGGTAAAATATCACAGAATGATGTTCTACTTTCCACTTTCATGACCTCCGTGGTCGTTTTCACGGTATCGTCATCTCTGAGAACACGGATTCGATCCCCGGCCAGGTCAACGTAGATAACTTTCCTATATAGTCTCGGTATTTCCATAACACGAGTTAAGAATGTTCTACTTTTTATTTTATCTCATTAAGCATTAGGTATATTTTACCTTCTCTTTTTCATGTATTAATGGACTATAATAGTGCAAGGGCAGTTTATTCGCATATGAAACCAAATACTGTCCTAACTCAACAGTTTGAAAATCGAAAAAAGATTATAGAATGGAATTTAATTTAATTTTAACAATTTACTTAATTTAATTTCAAACTGAATTTTAAAACAGGACATATACAGGACATAATAAATAGTCGTGAAAAATTAAAACACGTTTCCCAAAAAAATTTTTCAAAGTGGCCCTTTCGCCCTTTCTACAAAACTGGGACGATATATTCTCGTTTATAAACAGATAATTAAGTATTATGTATAAATAAAAATAATCACAGTCATTATTCGCTATAAGATCCGTTCAATACTTTTTGAATTTTCAAAAAAACAAAAATATCTAGAACGCGCTCCACTGAGAAATTTTTCAAAATGGCGCTTTCGCCCTTATTTTTAAATTTTGAAATCGTATAATAAAAACTGTTTTAGAATCTTATCATCGTCAAACCCAACCATCTGTAACAAACGTAAGAAGAAAGTAGAGAAATTCGTAAAGTTTGCAGACACGATCTGTAGCTCAGTTGTTAGAGCTATGGCACTGGTTAGGCAGATCTAAAGCAACTTTTTGTGAGTTCGATCTTTGTATTAATAATTATAACAAACTAGAGGGGTATTTTGACCAAAATAAATAAATTTCGTGACAGTAAAACACTATAATATTCATTACAATCACTGTTACCGTTTAGTTTTTAGGACCATGACCCATAAGTGCGGTAGTTAGAACCTGTGCACACGGCGTATTATATACGCGCCGACGACGCGTTTACGGCGCCGTAAACGCGCGTCATTTGCGCGTATATGTGCTGTAATGAATCGACTAAAGCGCGCGCAAACATCGCGTTGCAAGCAAGAAGCTTATTTTATTTTTATAATATCAAGTGACGAGACGGACAAGTCGTGCGCGTGAGGTTGCAGTGCTACTCAGTTTTAAATCGCAAAGATCTGAGAGGCCACTGTCAATACCCCCGTCACTCTGAGACATAAGTTGATAAGTGCCATGTGCCTGTAATTTCACCTTATATACTGCACTGGAGTTTACATTTAGAATTTAATGTAGTTGCTTCATTTCAAAAATTAACTGATATTAACAAACAAAACTGAAATTAAAACTCTCTTATCAAAATGCGTGATACGTACGCGCCAATACAGCGCGTCAGCGGCGCGCATAACATACGCCTTGTGCACAGGGTCAAAGCTGCGCATTGTAATTGGCGCTCTAATGGGTCATTGGTCCATATAATAAATACTTTTCAATCTAGGTATCACGGACAGCCCTCTATGCAGAACATGCATGGAGGGAGCGGAAACCGTCGCATATATTCCACTGCAATACTCCGGCGTGGCCAACTACAGGGTGAAAACACCTTTGAGTGCCGAGGTCGTGCCCAGAAATCTTCGAAAGACCCAGGAAAGTGCTCAAATTTTTGGAGGCCACCACACGCAAAAGAGGCGCCTGGACGTTGAGTTGCGGACAACAGCTCGTTACATCACACCATGTTATATAAAATTTTTTTATGGTGACGACGGAAACTGCAGCAGTAGAGCTCCTTCTGAAAGAGTTCGTCCAGGGAAGTATAGCCATCTTAGCTATTTCTGCCGCCAAGCAGTAATGTGAGCATTACTGCGTTTCGGTTTAGAAGGTGCTGGTGAAATAACTATTATTATGGGATATAATTAATATGGGACTTCATCAAGTTATGTCTCAGGGTGACTGGCGCAGTGGCAGTTACCCTAAGATCTTTGCGATTTAAAGTTCTGAGTGGCACTGCAACTGTTATGGATAGACGTGTCGCTTACCACCAGGTGCACGTTTGTTCGTACCGACATTTCGTATTGCAAAAATAAAAATAAAAAGTCTTCAAGATACAAGTGTGTTTATTCTACTGGAGTTAACATGTTCAATATTTCGAGTAGATGAAGCGAAAAGGGTATAGAAAGAAATGTATAAAATGAATAGAAAAAATGTAATAGAAGGCTTTTGTTTAATGTCATTACACTTTTCTTTGGTGATTTAAGTCAAACGTGAACAGTTGACGTTTCTGGCACTTTATATGTCCCATGATCGCGGCTTACTGAGATGGTCACGGGACCTGTAAAGGGCCCGAAACGTTGGTTTGTTTGAAATCGCGAAAACTTAAGAACTCGTTACATAAACAGCTATTATAAATACACCTTTTAAATTACACCTTTAACTTCCTCCGTGGCCGAACGATTACCATTCCGGACTGCCACGCAGAAGTCCCAGGTTCGATTCCCGGGCCGGGAGAAATATTTGTATGACCTACATTTATTTCTTTCGTGAGTTTGGGTGTAATTTGTGGTTGTCTGTGTACATACATGTCGATGGCACCCGCGACACAGGGTTTCCCTAGTGCGGGGCTATGTTGAGTGTGTGTGTTATTATTAATATTGTTATTACCAATACATTTAATATTCAGTTGTATGACAAATCGCATATAGCTGAATACGCAAATTGACCATACCCACCAATTGGAACTCCGTAGTCACTGCCTGCCCCATAGGAGACAGGTGTGATCATTTTGTTATGTATTTTAAACCAACTTGTATTTGTCTTTTTATAATTGGAGTTGTACAAATGTGCAATTTGAACTTAGAGACAAACAATTGAAAAACGCATTAAAAGTTGATTATTTTGTACTAATTTGAAAAAGTTCTAAAAATAATATGAAAAATTAACATAAATCAACCATTTTATTGAAGACATGCAGGGTGAAGGATGTCATGGGTCTTCCATGTTGTAATAGTGGATCCAAATACAATTAATAACTAACTTCAATCAACTTAAAATAGTTTGTATTGTATATCTTATAAAATCATATATAAAAGAAATGTCATTTATTTTTCTGTATTTTTGAATAAAATAAACCCCGTTTCAAAAACTCGCGACGGCAGAAAGGCTATGACATAATTGATAGCCCAATATACAATACGATATGATCGCAAACTAGTGCTACGACGCGAAAAAAGAACAAAAATTCTTTCACGCATACTTAATGAAATATCGATGGTAACCAGGCAGGATAATAAAAGGTATTCCACTCACCTGTTGTATGCCTTAGCGCCCACCAGTTGCCTCACAGTCACTTACGATCCAATGAAAAAATTATCAGTCTGACTTATCAGTCCAAAGTTATTGTCATCAATTGCTGACAGAATAAATTATTGTCTTTGTCAAAAGTTATTGCTCTAAATGGAAAAAAATGAACGTCAAAAATTCATCGCTTCTTATGTTTGAAAAGCGAACTGTGCGTTCGTGAAAATTAAATTTATTTTCCTTTTATTTGAATCAGCTGCCAGACGTTATAGAGGCGTGCGCGCGGGAGGACGTCGAGGGTTAGACTGAAAAGTGGGCTGAAAACAGGGGCTGTGAAATACGTAGGTGTTGCTCTGAGTGGGAGTCTTTCCGATAGAGACAAAAATACACATTATATGGCGAGAGTGAGTAAGGCGGTCGCTTAGGCCCGCAGGGAACCTCGCACACGTATTCGGCTCCCGATGTCAGGAAGAATTTGTAGGCGTTCGTAATTGTACCTTTGATTGGGGTTTTCCGAATTTAATAAGTGCTCTTCAGACAAGCTGAAGCATCAATAGTGGCACCTCTCCAATTCGGTCGAGTAAACTTGTGAAGACGTCAGCGCTGTAATATAACTGCTTGGGTGATTTTGTATAAACTGTTAAGGGTATGAGGTTTGTGGAAAAAGGTTCCTTTTTCTATGGGGAAATCACACACGCCACGACGACGACGAAAATTACTGTCTCTTCACAAATTTGCACTCTCTGCTGACTCCACATACATTATGTATGTGGAATGGAGGAAAGGGGCGGTATTTTTCGTAACATGACTGAAGGATGTGTTATTAGTTTGTCGAGGACCATTCGCTTTGAAACAACATCATATGAAATGGAACAAAACTCGATTTTACTCACAATTTAATGTTTTTATCTCGTTTATTAGTCAATGAGGAACATTTTTTTAAGAGGACTTTTATTTTTACTACGTACTGTGTGGAGCAAAAGATTTTTTAAGCATTATTTATGATAAACGAAAACGACATTCTGGATGGAAAATTTGGGTGTGCTTTCCTTTTGTTTTTTGCTGTGCTTTAATCTGTTAATGATTTGCTTCTAAAGAGTTATTTTTTATTTAGTCTATTAAGACTGAATAACAAATAAAAAGAAGAAGCAAAAAAAAGAAGCTTTTAAACTGAATAACAAAATATTTTTCTTTGATCAAAATCATTTCAGTAGCAGAAGAGTTCCTTGTCAAAGAGTACACCCAGGGAACTACTGCCACATTACTTATTCCTGCCGCCAAGCAGTATTCTTCCGGTTTTAAAAAGTAAGGGTGCTGGTGAAATTGCAGACTTTCGACGCCTTATTTTCTCAAACTCGTATCTTATCAAGAGTGTTTATTCCGGAGATGGCAAAACTTTCTATTTATTTTAAATTTCTTATCAAGGGTGTTCATTTGGGTGCATTACTTTAAGAATAGGTAAAAGCCAGTGTGTGAATATGAAGGAAATGTGTTGTGAAATTAGCCTGCAAAAATTGTATACACAATCTGTTTTTTACATTTCAGTAACTTTGCGTTTTAAGATACGAGTTTTAGGGTCATATTCTAGAACTCTACTCAATGCTCAAGTCAGGATTTGAGTATTCGCTTTTTAGCACTCGAACTCATACTCGAGTCCCTGCCATTAGGGTCGTATTTCCAGTGCTTGTATTTCCAGTGCAATCCTGACTTGAGCATTGAGTAGAGTTCTAGAATACGACCCTAAGATAAGTAAGGCGACGATATGGGACTTATCAACTTATGCCTCAGGTTACGGGCGTAGTGGCAGTGCTCCTGAGATCTTTGTGATTTAAAGCTCTGAATGGTACTGAAACTGTTATGGACAGGCGTATCGTCGCTTACCACCAGACATAAAAAAAATCAATATGTCATTTCATAGTATCACGACGAGTGGTTTCTGTTAGTTGACGCCTCATAATTATTATACTTGAAGATTCTTGAGCATAGAAAAAATACTCCTCCCCGCTTCGGTTGCCACAATACTATAAATTTGTTCCCGGCATTTTTCTTTTGTTCCACATTAACGTTGCAAATGTATGGTAGAATTAAGTTTTTTAAATGGCCAAAGTACTGTAGTGTATCAGAAACGTTTTTGTTAGCGCGTACGGGTTTGCTGCTGTGTCAGAAAGAGAGTTTCTTCTCTTAGACAGTACTAATACTAAAAACATAATGTTTTATTTTTGTTTATTATATTATTTTAATGTTAACAATACATTTAAAATGACATTCGTAGAGATACTTTAGTTGACCCACTTTAAGAGATAATAATAAGTTTACAGATAACAGAAAAGTGCTATAAATAGAGTAATAACATTATGTTTTAATCGAATAAAAACAAATCTTTATTTTTAAGTAAATAAATAATTTGTATTTGAAGCATTTTTTTTTGAAGCAGTATTTGTATTGTTCGAAACTAAAGCCTCTCCAAAATTTTGGATTTTTCTAATTTTGTTGTTAAAAAGTAATTGATGTCGTTTTATTCAACATGTAACGTACTTTCGATATCAGTTTAAAGGTTTTTGATATCTCTTATATGTACATATTTACGGAATAATTCCCTGGGCACACTTACCGATTACACTCAGTATACGTATAAAATTCGAGAAGATGTGAATTATGTAAGATATGGGCTCCTGAAATAGATCAAAGTAGGACATACATCGTTTAATTTACAGACACGAATTCTTAAGTAACAAAATCCTTTATCATATATTTTAGGCTCTTGTTTAATACTGGAGATAAAATTAGAGTTTATCGAAATAAATCTCTAAAATAAGTATCTAAAACTTTATTGAACCAATTTAGTAGAAAATTAAAACGAACCAATGGCAGGATTAATGACAAAACTCACATTGAATTGTCTACTACATTCTGTAGTAGGTGTAGGTATAGTATAGTATAGATAGACAATATATTAAAAAGATTCATAGAAAGTAAAAAGATACATGTATTATATATCTAACGTGATGATTATTCTTTTCCCTCAGAGCGAGACGCCTATAAATTTATTATTGTTTCAAAAATAAACCACATGTTTATGATAGTTACGAAATGTTTAACGAATTTAAATATATATAAAGAACTAAAATGTGAGTGCGCTTCGTAAGATATAACAATAAATGACATATTTTTGGTTGATATAACGCTCAACGGATATAATTAATTTATGGTATACAGACATTTGACATATTCTTGCATAATATAAAGGTCATTGGGTAATAATAGACAATTGATTTAACAACTTTCAATCTATTATACCGATGGCATAATGTTCATTTTATATAAATACTTCAGATATAATATTCACTGAGTAGAATGTTGAATGTACGTGTAAACACATACAAACAATCTTATAGAACTGATACTTCTTTTAACTTAAGTTAGGTTAGAACGGCGACCACAATGGTGCGCGAGCCGAGCGAGCAAAGTGAGCATGTCGCGGCAGCGGCCAGGGAAGTGCCATTTCTAAATCTCGATGCGAAATCAGTAGTTATTTCGATGAAAAATCCTATTTTTGATGCACATGAGTTGATGTGTATTGTTTTTTGATATACAACTAAACATTCTTCACTCTTTCATCTGCTAATTTATTTACTTAGGTGCTTTAACTGTTTGTAAAACGAAATAATGTGTTATATTAATTAATTTATGCATTATACTGGTAATACTTATACCATTATTATATTCATTATGGTATCTAGTCATTACATGTAATGTTCGTTACATTGAAGGTTTATTATACACATTGAAATTATGGCCTTATGTTGTTAAACCGCTTATTAATTATATTCAAAGAGTGATTATATACTTATAAATTATATACAATGTTGTTATATCAAGTGAATGTATATCTTTCATTACATACCCCTAACAATGCTTAATGATCAAAAATTTTTAAAAAGAATTGATTTTAAATTATTTTGATGGGCTGGGTTATTACATATTTTTCGGGTGAGCAAATTTGCTTTAACATGTGAGGATTAGTTTTTAAATACTTTCCACGGCTTTTAAATAGGCGACGCCACTGATACATGCAGAACTAAAAGGCGCGGGCGACAAGGCTTTTGACAAGTTACAACACGGTTACAACTATATAACTTTAGTAGCTTCTTGTTAACAAGTTCGTCCAGGGAAGTACTGTCACGGAAAGGGTGTCTGGTAATAGAATAACGCCACAAAGAAGAGATAATGTAGAGAAATACAAGGTGAATTTCGACCTTCGCGTATATATCTTAACAAGATTGATAATATCCCTAAAATGGCCAGGTCAAAGAATAAAAAAAAAAAAAAGGTAAAAAAATAAAAGGGCGGGTATAAAAAGACTGCTGTATAATTTAAAGTACAATAAATAGAATGTAATTGAATAACTACAAACATATTTGTATATAATAGGGGTTAAAGTATGAAATTGCCGATTTGTACTGAAAATCTAAATTGTTTATTTTTTAAATTTTTAACAAATTTATTTAATCAAAATAGTTGCCATTATTATCTATACATTGCTGCCATCTAATGGGAAGGTTATTAATGCCTTTGCGATAGAACTCCGACGATCTAGACTGCACAAACTGTGTGAAAGCATTTTGTACTGCCTCCTGGGAAGAAAACTTCTTGTCACGTAGATAATTGTCCAAATCATGAAAAAAATGGTAGTCCGTTGGAGCAAGGTCTGGTGAATACGGAGGATGACGAATGGTTTCTAACTGCAGTTCCTGAAGGGTCAAAATGGTTTCTCGTGCTGTGTGAGGTCTCGCGTTGTCGTGGAGCAATAATGGTGAAGATCGATTCATGAGTCGGGGCTGTTTTACTGCTAGTTTTGTCAACATGGTTCGGAGTTCGGCACAATAGACATCTGCCGTTATTGCTTGACCAGATCGGAGAAAACTATAGTGAATAACACCATGCTGAGACCACCAAACAGTTACCATTACCTTTTTAGTGGTAAGTTTTGCTTTAGGACACTGTTGTGGCATTTGACCTGGGGTCAGCCATTGCATTTTTCTTTTCCGGTTATCATAAAGAATCCACTTTTCATCACATGTTACAATTCGATCCAATATTCCTTCATTTCTGTACCGGTTCAACAAGGCAACACAAGTTTCAACACGCGTTTCTTTCTGCAGATCAGTCAAATCATGAGGCACCCATTTTTCGTATTTTTTTATTTTATTGATTTGACGCAAGTGAGTCAATATTGTGGGTAAGGTAACGTTAAACCATGCCGCTAATTCCTGGGTAGTTTGACTAGGATCGGCTT